AGGAGGGCCATCTTGTCTATATTTTATCAGATTTTTTATGACTTAGATATTCCATGTTAGAATGAACATGCTCTATTTGTGTCAAAGCTAGGGATATAATAATATAGAATACAGTTTTCTCATGATTCAATATGTGAGTGACAATATCCATACATTTTTAATAATTGTAGACCTCTAAAATCATCTGTCTTCTGTCATCTATGGTCTCCTGCATATATATGCTGTAGTGTATTAAGTCTGTACCTGTCTTTATCAGGGCCTGTTGGCTGATCAGATTGGTCAGCCTGCTCCTCTGTGCGTCTATAGTCTCTTGCATGGCTTTCACTCTGACCCTCAGGTTACTGTTCTCTGTCTGAAGCATTGAATTTTCATGAAACATGTCACTGAAGCAGTCCACGCCATCCTCCCCGGGGACACGCTTTCCCTGTGTACAGACATAACAATAAAAAACTTTTTATACTAAGTTTACGGTTAAGGTACACTTTATTTTCCCCACACAGAAATGTGTCCTCTGCATTTAACGCATCCTTCAGTGTCTCTGGGTTAACCTTTCAGGAGCAGTGGGACCCATCTCCAGATCTTGAGCTAGTCTTGGTCAGGACTGCCTTAGCTATTGTGCATGTTTTGGGTTGAACGGGGGGGAAACTGGAGTGTTCGGAGGAAACCCACTCAGAAACAGGAAGAACATACAAACTCCGCACAAAAATGCCAAAACTGCTGTACTCCAGTCCTCTGCAGTTCTTGTGACTCAAGCTCTATGATCCGTCATGTTTTAGTACTGGGTTAAGGTGTGGTTCTTTCTGTACCATAGATGGTATCTCTGGACATAGCTAACCTCCTGTTCAAAGCATTCTAAATAGGAAGTGAGCATGGGCATGCTTCCGTCTCAATCATCCAATGGTGCAGATGGGAAGGGGTGTTAATTTTAACACCAGTCTGGATTGGTTCTTTGGTTCCTATGATACTCAATCTCATATTTCCAATTGTGGTCCCTTGTTGTAGATTAGCCATTATAACTACCAGCCTCATTTGGCTGGAACCGAATAGTCCACCTCTATTCTACAGCCTGCGGTATCTCCCTGTGCAGTTCTTGGAACCTTAGCTCTATGATAAGGGTATGTCATTTTCTAGTGCGGGTTCTGCTGTGGTTCTGTCTGTACTTACCGTCCTGTACTCCAGTATCTCCCTCTGCAGCCGTGCGATCTCGGTCCGAAGTGCGCTGATCTGCTGACTAGCCCGGTCCTGGTTCACCATCACGCGCGGTTCCGTATGTTCCGTGTTCTGTTGGCGTATTTCAGTGTGTTCAGTGTCTCCATGAAGTCACTGTCTGAGGGGCTGATGCAGGCGATCATCACTGTCTGACTGAGAAACAGAAAAAAACCTATAAACCAGGACTGAACCGAATCAAACTAGGGCTAAACTAGGACTAAACCAGGACTAAACCAGGAATAAACCAGGAACAGAGCAGTACCTGTTTCCTCCCAGAGAGTCCTGCAGGAGACGTGTGAGTTTGGAGTCTCGATACGGGACATGACACGACCGTTTTGTCCGATCTCCCAAAGCGCTGATCACGTTCCCCAGAGCCAACTGTGAGCGAAAAAGAAATACAAAAAAAATTAATTTAGACCTGGTTTAGTCCCGGTTCAGTCCTGATTCAGTCCTTGTTCAGTCCTGGTCCAGTCCTGGTCCAGCCCTGATCTAGTCCAAATTTAGTCCTGGGTTATTTCTGGTTCAGTCCTGGTCCAATACCAGTCCGCAGTTGATAGAGATTCCCTCTCTGGCTCTCTCTCCAGTTGCTCCGGTTCTCTTCAGTCTTTCAGATCCGGCCAAATCCACAAAATGGAACTTTGCTGTGAGAGTCTCATACTCGTCCACCTCCGACTGAGACACACGGTTATCCTGTTCCTCCTGGTATATATAAAATCAGATAAATAATACTATTACTAATACTACTACTACTATGGCTACTACTACTACGGCTGCTACTACTACTACTGCTACTACTGCTGCTACTACTACTGCTACTACTGCTACTGCTACTGCTACTGCTGCTACTACTACTACTACTCAGAGTGAGCAAGCTACTTCTGAAGTATTCAAAAGATACACAGGTGTATATCAGACGCCCTCCCATCCTCCTGTATCTATTGTGGTTTTATACACCAACAAAAATAAAAGGAAAGGAAATACAATGATTCTTGCTTACGTTGTTGTTGGTGCAGACTCGCACTTGGCACACGTGAATGGTGAAGATGGCGTGAGATCTGGAGCTTTGAACGTTCATCTGTGTGCTAGCTGTGGTCCTCGAGAGAGCCCCCAACTTCAGACACTGGATCATCTGTAAAATATATGTCAAAATATAATGAAATAATACCGAAACAGAGCCACAGGAGAAGATAGGAGCAGAGGCAGAGGACCAGACAGGAGCAGAGGCAAAGGACCAGACAGGAGCAGAGGCAGGGGAGCAGACAGGAGCACGTCAGAGGAGCAGAGCCAGAACAGACAGGAGCAGAGGCAGGGGAGCAGACAGGAGCACGTCAGAGGAGCAGAGCCAGAACAGACAGGAGCAGAGGCAGGGGAGCAGACAGGAGCACGTCAGAGGAGCAGAGCCAGAACAGACAGGAGCAGAGAGGAGCAGAGAGAAGCAGGTCCAGACCTCGGACTCTGACTGGACTTGCCGCGTGGTCACTCCCACAGTGTAGATTCCTCCATTCGGGTCTTCGTGGATTTTGATTTGAGATTTTTGTTTCATATCTCGAGTCGAGTCGAACAAATCCAAAACCTCCTCATTGTACAACTGTGAGAATATATACAAGAGACCTGGTTTAGTCCTGGGTTTATCCAGGTTTTATCCTGGTTTAGTCCTAGTTTAGTCCTGGTTCGGTCCTGATTCTGTCCTGGGTGATTCTTGTTTCAGTCCTGCTTTAGTCCTGGTTAAGACCTGTTTCAGTCCTGGTTCAATCCTGATTCAGTCCTGGCTCAGTCCTGGTTTCTTCCTGGTTCAGTCTTGGTCTAGTCTTGTTCTAGTCCTGGTTCAGTCCTAGGTGATTCTTGGTTAGGCCCTGCTTTAGTCCTGGTTTAGACCTGATTCAGTCCTGGTTTAGACCTGATTCAGTCCTGGTTCGGTCCTGGTTTAGTCCTGGTTTTGTACCTCTAAAAACTGTGCATTGATCTTGAACTCTGGGGGGGTTAATCCTTGTTCGGTGGCGGTTCGTTTTCGTTCTTCGATGGCGGTGAAAAGATGGCGGACGGCACGTGGAATAATGCCCACCTCCTCGCCTGAAACGCCAACCTCGAACCCGGTGCCCATCGTGTATGTCTTCCCCGAGCCAGTCTGCAGGAGAAAAGCATCAGATGCCCTCTCTGTGTGTCAGATGCCCTCCTATACTCTCCTGGTTCCCACTGTGTATATCTTCCCTGAGCCAGAGGAAGAGTCAGATGCCCTCCCATACTCATCACAGTCTGTGGGAGAAAAGAGTCAGAGGCCTTTCCATACTCATCCCCGTGTGCAAGAGGCCCTCCCATCCTCCTATATCCCTGTGTGTCAGAAGTCTTGGTTTAGACCTGGTTTAGTCCTGGTTTTAGTCAGAATGCCCTCTCTGTGTGTCAGATGCCCTTCTCATGTGTAAGATGCCCTTGACTCCTCCTGTAGTGTGATGAGATGCCCTCCCATGCTGTGTCCTGTCTCTTTAAGAAGTGCCGTTTGTGTCTCTCTAGCATTTCTCTAATTCACCACGAACAGGTACGAACATCACACAGGTCCTGGTTTAGTCCTGGTCAAGTTTTGGTTTAATTCTGGTTTAGTCCTGCTTCAGTCCTGTTTAGACCTGGTTTCAACTGCATGGAGTCTTGGGTTGGAGCTGGTTTAGTCATGGTTTAGAACTTGCAGCAAGAACCTTAAGCAATTTGCTTAAACCTGGTTTAAACCAAGTTGTGTCTTCAATTAATCTGTATTTAGTCCTGGTTTAGTCCTGGTTTAGTCCTGGTTTAGTCCTGGTTTAGTCCTTGCTTAAAATGATGTGGATCCAGTTCATTATTCTGATTTGCTCTGGTTTACTGGACATAGATCTTTTGAGTACAGTAGGGTCAGACTGTGTTGAAGGTGAAGCACAAACTTCAAAGTTTAATTTACTTTATTTGAGTAATATATTGTACAGTGTAACAGTACTCCTACTTGAATAATATAATACACAAAGTAACAGTACTCTGTATTAATATTATAATTATTATTTCTGTTCATTTATGTTATATCTGTCTAATTACATTTTTCTGTTACTCTTAAGCCCGGTTTTGGGCTCTGTAGGAGAATAGAGTAGAATAAGGTTAAGGTGGTTTTCTTGAGAAGCAGACCCTGTAACTGTTTCCTGGTATATCAGAGCTGTGGTTTCGTCAGATAAGGGCAGAGTCTGTGTGGTGACAGTCTCTGTCTCACATTCACTTTGGTTCTAAATAAGTAACCACTAACTCTGTGTGAACTGAGCAACTTTGGGAATTCACATTTAAAAAGGAAACATTTTACTTCTATGGGGTAGGCCTATTAACTGCAAATATATACATACATTTAGATCACCATGTTACCTTTTATTGTTTTGAAAATGCTATATTTGTTGAAAACAAGTTATCTGACAACATGTATAATAAGTTTCCCACTAAGGAAACAACTTCACATCAGGTTTGTGAAGTTGTAGTATATTGTTTAGTATCAAGCTTTTGTATATATATTCATCATGATTTATTCATCAATGCCTTTCTATAGCACCTTTCAAGACACCCAAAGCGGTTACAGTTCATTGTTAATTCCCTCCATACTCAGTGTTGGCAAGCTACTACTGTAGCCATGGCTGCTTTGGGGCCTACTGATGAACTGATTTGTAAACAAAATTGTTACTCAAACATGCATGGATGAAATCTTAAACCTCTCCAGATGTATTTTTAAAGGGTCTGTATTACACTATTTTCTGATGTTATTATAATAGCTTAATCATCACAAACATACCTGGAGTTGTGTTTTGTTCCACCTTGTGATGTCATATGATAATACAGGAAGTGCTCCACTGTGTTTAAAACTTCATAAAACTTCACTAGAATTATTTGGATAATTTCAATCCTGGAGTTGCCAATTTCCAATGAATTAAAGATAAAAGCAGTTGATAACTTGGAAACTACTACTAAATGACATCACAAGGTGAAATAGAGCATTTTGAGAGTTGGGAATTTATCAAAACTAATGCAGGGTTCCTCAAACATGTGAATAAAACAAACCACAACTCAGGATACATTTCTAATGGGTAAGGAGTCAATTTTGTGTAATATATGACCTTTAACTGGAGGACTGGTCTAGGCCTGGTTCAGTTCTGGTCCACAGTCTCTCTCTCTGATCCTGTTCACTCTCTCACAGCAGACTGGACCCTGCAGCTGGAAGCATGGCAGCATGAAGCTCCTCAGACCCTGCAGGTGCTCCCCTGTCTGAACCAGGCTGGACAGAGGCCATGGCGGTGGGCAAGGCTAACTCTCTCTGCTCTGCAAAGAGATTTTCTAGACCAGTCCTCCAGTTAAAGGTCATATATTACACAAAATTGACTCCTTACCCATTAGAAATGTATCCTGAGTTGTGGTTTGTTTTATTCACATGTTTGAGGAACCCTGCATTAGTTTTGATAAATTCCCAACTCTCAAAATGCTCTATTTCACCTTGTGATGTCATTTAGTAGTAGTTTCCAAGTTATCAACTGCTTTTATCTTTAATTCATTGGAAATTGGCAACTCCAGGATTGAAATTATCCAAATAATTCTAGTGAAGTTTTATGAAGTTTTAAACACAGTGGAGCACTTCCTGTATTATCATATGACATCACAAGGTGGAACAAAACACAACTCCAGGTATGTTTGTGATGATTAAGCTATTATAATAACATCAGAAAATAGTGTAATACAGACCCTTTAAAAATACATCTGGAGAGGTTTAAGATTTCATCCATGCATGTTTGAGTAACAATTTTGTTTACAAATCAGTTCATCAGTAGGCCCCAAAGCAGCCATGGCTACAGTAGTAGCTTGCCAACACTGAGTATGGAGGGAATTAACAATGAACTGTAACCGCTTTGGGTGTCTTGAAAGGTGCTATAGAAAGGCATTGATGAATAAATCATGATGAATATATATACAAAAGCTTGATACTAAACAATATACTACAACTTCACAAACCTGATGTGAAGTTGTTTCCTTAGTGGGAAACTTATTATACATGTTGTCAGATAACTTGTTTTCAACAAATATAGCATTTTCAAAACAATAAAAGGTAACATGGTGATCTAAATGTATGTATATATTTGCAGTTAATAGGCCTACCCCATAGAAGTAAAATGTTTCCTTTTTAAATGTGAATTCCCAAAGTTGCTCAGTTCACACAGAGTTAGTGGTTACTTATTTAGAACCAAAGTGAATGTGAGACAGAGACTGTCACCACACAGACTCTGCCCTTATCTGACGAAACCACAGCTCTGATATACCAGGAAACAGTTACAGGGTCTGCTTCTCAAGAAAACCACCTTAACCTTATTCTACTCTATTCTCCTACAGAGCCCAAAACCGGGCTTAAGAGTAACAGAAAAATGTAATTAGACAGATATAACATAAATGAACAGAAATAATAATTATAATATTAATACAGAGTACTGTTACTTTGTGTATTATATTATTCAAGTAGGAGTACTGTTACACTGTACAATATATTACTCAAATAAAGTAAATTAAACTTTGAAGTTTGTGCTTCACCTTCAACACAGTCTGACCCTACTGTACTCAAAAGATCTATGTCCAGTAAACCAGAGCAAATCAGAATAATGAACTGGATCCACATCATTTTAAGCAAGGACTAAACCAGGACTAAACCAGGACTAAATACAGATTAATTGAAGACACAACTTGGTTTAAACCAGGTTTAAGCAAATTGCTTAAGGTTCTTGCTGCAAGTTCTAAACCATGACTAAACCAGCTCCAACCCAAGACTCCATGCAGTTGAAACCAGGTCTAAACAGGACTGAAGCAGGACTAAACCAGAATTAAACCAAAACTTGACCAGGACTAAACCAGGACCTGTGTGATGTTCGTACCTGTTCGTGGTGAATTAGAGAAATGCTAGAGAGACACAAACGGCACTTCTTAAAGAGACAGGACACAGCATGGGAGGGCATCTCATCACACTACAGGAGGAGTCAAGGGCATCTTACACATGAGAAGGGCATCTGACACACAGAGAGGGCATTCTGACTAAAACCAGGACTAAACCAGGTCTAAACCAAGACTTCTGACACACAGGGATATAGGAGGATGGGAGGGCCTCTTGCACACGGGGATGAGTATGGAAAGGCCTCTGACTCTTTTCTCCCACAGACTGTGATGAGTATGGGAGGGCATCTGACTCTTCCTCTGGCTCAGGGAAGATATACACAGTGGGAACCAGGAGAGTATAGGAGGGCATCTGACACACAGAGAGGGCATCTGATGCTTTTCTCCTGCAGACTGGCTCGGGGAAGACATACACGATGGGCACCGGGTTCGAGGTTGGCGTTTCAGGCGAGGAGGTGGGCATTATTCCACGTGCCGTCCGCCATCTTTTCACCGCCATCGAAGAACGAAAACGAACCGCCACCGAACAAGGATTAACCCCCCCAGAGTTCAAGATCAATGCACAGTTTTTAGAGGTACAAAACCAGGACTAAACCAGGACCGAACCAGGACTGAATCAGGTCTAAACCAGGACTGAATCAGGTCTAAACCAGGACTAAAGCAGGGCCTAACCAAGAATCACCTAGGACTGAACCAGGACTAGAACAAGACTAGACCAAGACTGAACCAGGAAGAAACCAGGACTGAGCCAGGACTGAATCAGGATTGAACCAGGACTGAAACAGGTCTTAACCAGGACTAAAGCAGGACTGAAACAAGAATCACCCAGGACAGAATCAGGACCGAACCAGGACTAAACTAGGACTAAACCAGGATAAAACCTGGATAAACCCAGGACTAAACCAGGTCTCTTGTATATATTCTCACAGTTGTACAATGAGGAGGTTTTGGATTTGTTCGACTCGACTCGAGATATGAAACAAAAATCTCAAATCAAAATCCACGAAGACCCGAATGGAGGAATCTACACTGTGGGAGTGACCACGCGGCAAGTCCAGTCAGAGTCCGAGGTCTGGACCTGCTTCTCTCTGCTCCTCTCTGCTCCTGTCTGTTCTGGCTCTGCTCCTCTGACGTGCTCCTGTCTGCTCCCCTGCCTCTGCTCCTGTCTGGTCCTTCTGCCTCTGCTCCTGTCTGTCTGGTCCTCTGCCTCTGCTCCTATCTTCTCCTGTGGCTCTGTTTCGGTATTATTTCATTATATTTTGACATATATTTTACAGATGATCCAGTGTCTGAAGTTGGGGGCTCTCTCGAGGACCACAGCTAGCACACACAGATGAACGTTCAAAGCTCCAGATCTCACGCCATCTTCACCATTCACGTGTGCCAAGTGCGAGTCTGCACCAACAACAACGTAAGCAAGAATCATTGTATTTCCTTTCCTTTTATTTTGTTGGTGTATAAAACCACAATAGATACAGGAGGATGGGAGGGCGTCTGATATACACCTGTGTATCTTTTGAATACTTCAGAAGTAGCTTGCTCACTCTGAGTAGTAGTAGTAGTAGCAGCAGTAGCAGTAGCAGTAGCAGTAGCAGTAGTAGCAGTAGTAGTAGCAGCAGTAGTAGCAGTAGTAGTAGTAGCAGCCGTAGTAGTAGTAGCCATAGTAGTAGTAGTATTAGTAATAGTATTATTTATCTGATTTTATATATACCAGGAGGAACAGGATAACCGTGTGTCTCAGTCGGAGGTGGACGAGTATGAGACTCTCACAGCAAAGTTCCATTTTGTGGATTTGGCCGGATCTGAAAGACTGAAGAGAACCGGAGCAACTGGAGAGAGAGCCAGAGAGGGAATCTCTATCAACTGCGGACTGGTATTGGACCAGGACTGAACCAGAAATAACCCAGGACTAAATTTGGACTAGATCAGGGCTGGACCAGGACTGGACCAGGACTGAACAAGGACTGAATCAGGACTGAACCGGGACTAAACCAGGTCTAAATTAATTTTTTTGTATTTCTTTTTCGCTCACAGTTGGCTCTGGGGAACGTGATCAGCGCTTTGGGAGATCGGACAAAACGGTCGTGTCATGTCCCGTATCGAGACTCCAAACTCACACGTCTCCTGCAGGACTCTCTGGGAGGAAACAGGTACTGCTCTGTTCCTGGTTTATTCCTGGTTTAGTCCTGGTTTAGTCCTAGTTTAGCCCTAGTTTGATTCGGTTCAGTCCTGGTTTATAGGTTTTTTTCTGTTTCTCAGTCAGACAGTGATGATCGCCTGCATCAGCCCCTCAGACAGTGACTTCATGGAGACACTGAACACACTGAAATACGCCAACAGAACACGGAACATACGGAACCGCGTGATGGTGAACCAGGACCGGGCTAGTCAGCAGATCAGCGCACTTCGGACCGAGATCGCACGGCTGCAGAGGGAGATACTGGAGTACAGGACGGTAAGTACAGACAGAACCACAGCAGAACCCGCACTAGAAAATGACATACCCTTATCATAGAGCTAAGGTTCCAAGAACTGCACAGGGAGATACCGCAGGCTGTAGAATAGAGGTGGACTATTCGGTTCCAGCCAAATGAGGCTGGTAGTTATAATGGCTAATCTACAACAAGGGACCACAATTGGAAATATGAGATTGAGTATCATAGGAACCAAAGAACCAATCCAGACTGGTGTTAAAATTAACACCCCTTCCCATCTGCACCATTGGATGATTGAGACGGAAGCATGCCCATGCTCACTTCCTATTTAGAATGCTTTGAACAGGAGGTTAGCTATGTCCAGAGATACCATCTATGGTACAGAAAGAACCACACCTTAACCCAGTACTAAAACATGACGGATCATAGAGCTTGAGTCACAAGAACTGCAGAGGACTGGAGTACAGCAGTTTTGGCATTTTTGTGCGGAGTTTGTATGTTCTTCCTGTTTCTGAGTGGGTTTCCTCCGAACACTCCAGTTTCCCCCCGTTCAACCCAAAACATGCACAATAGCTAAGGCAGTCCTGACCAAGACTAGCTCAAGATCTGGAGATGGGTCCCACTGCTCCTGAAAGGTTAACCCAGAGACACTGAAGGATGCGTTAAATGCAGAGGACACATTTCTGTGTGGGGAAAATAAAGTGTACCTTAACCGTAAACTTAGTATAAAAGTTTTTTATTGTTATGTCTGTACACAGGGAAAGCGTGTCCCCGGGGAGGATGGCGTGGACTGCTTCAGTGACATGTTTCATGAAAATTCAATGCTTCAGACAGAGAACAGTAACCTGAGGGTCAGAGTGAAAGCCATGCAAGAGACTATAGACGCACAGAGGAGCAGGCTGACCAATCTGATCAGCCAACAGGCCCTGATAAAGACAGGTACAGACTTAATACACTACAGCATATATATGCAGGAGACCATAGATGACAGAAGACAGATGATTTTAGAGGTCTACAATTATTAAAAATGTATGGATATTGTCACTCACATATTGAATCATGAGAAAACTGTATTCTATATTATTATATCCCTAGCTTTGACACAAATAGAGCATGTTCATTCTAACATGGAATATCTAAGTCATAAAAAATCTGATAAAATATAGACAAGATGGCCCTCCTTGAACCAGTAACCCTCCCCTCTGCCCCTCACCTGTCTCACCTGTCCTTGCTGTAGGAGACGAGGGCTCAGAGGAGATTGGGACCATGATCCAGGGATACATCAAGGAGATCGAAGACCTGAGGTAAAACTGGTTTAGTCCTGGTTTAGTCCTGGTTTAGCCCTGGTTTAGTCCTGGTTATTTCCTGTTTCAGTCTTTTTTAGTCTTGGTTTAGTTGTAGTTTATTCCTAATTTAGACCTATTGGAGTCCTGGTTGAGTCCAGGTCTAACTCTGGTTTACCCTGGTTTAGTCTTTGTTAAGTCTTTGTTTAGTCTTCATTTAGTCTTCATTCAGCCCTGGTTCAGTTATGGTTTAGTCCTTGTTTAGTCCTGGTTTAGTCCTAGTTCAGTCCTGGTTTTGTCCCACTTTTTTGTCTGCAGGGCAAAGCTTCTGGAGAGTGAGGCAGTGAATGAGACTCTTCGTAAAAGTGTGAATCGATCCTCCAGTCGACCGTTTTATTCTGGTCCAGAAAAAGAGACTGACGACATCATTGAGCTTGCTAAAAAAGACCTGGAAAAACTCAAAAGGAGAGAGCGCAAAAAGAAGAAGAGGTAACATATCATGGGAGGGCATCTAACACATAGGGAGGGCATCTTACGCACCATGGAAGGAGGGGAGGTTATTTGACACACAGGGAGGGTGTCTGACAGACTACAGGAACACAGGAGGGCATCTGACACACAGGGACTGTGAGAAATGTGCACCATGGCAGGGCATCTGACTTAATCTGGCACACAAGGAAGGCATCTGATACACTAGAAGAGGACCAGAGGGCATCTGACACACTACAGGGACTTGCTCGTTTCCCTGTCTCCTTGTCTCTTCTCTTGTCTCCTTGCTCCCTTCCTTGTCTTCTTGTCTCCTCTCTTGTCTCATTGCTCCCTTCTCTGTCTCCTTCCCTCCTCTCACATGTCCTTGCTCCCTTCCTTATCACCTTGCCTCTTCCCTCATGTTCTTGCTCCCTTCCTTGTCTCCTTGCCTCCTCTCTCTCATGTCCTTGCTTTCTTTAGGCTGCAACTCTTATCAGAGGACAGAGACACAGAGGAGAAGGAGGAGGACTCCAGGTTTGTCTTCATCAAAAACAACTTTATTTAAACAAACTTTATTTTAACAAACTTTATTTTTCATTTTCATTTAAGTAACTTAATTTATGTCTCTTATTCACCTTTTCTGTGGGTTCATGATTCTTCCCTTTTCAGTTATTTGCATGCTTTGATCTTTTTGAGGTGTAGTAGTAGTAAAAGTAGTAGTAGTAGTAGTAGCATCATCATCATTATCATAAATAGTAGTAATATTAATAGTAGTAGATTTGCCTCCCTCTCATCTCTGAGGTGCTGCTTGCTTCATTTTTGTATTAAAGTTTTTCATTGTTTTCAGTTTTGGACCATTTCTCTGTTTAGACTCTACTGAAGTTACATTTATATATGTAATAATGTGATTTTGTCCTATTTATTTCAGTGTAAACAAAGAGGAGGAACCTGACAATGAGCAGAAGTGCCCAGAGAAAGGAAGAGAAGGAGAGAGAAGGAGGAGGAGGGGGAGAAGGAGGATCGCCATGATGACCCTGATATGGTGCTAATGAAGATTTTATTAATTTTTATAGTTTTTTTAATAAGATTTGGTTTAATGAAATGTTTTAAATGTCCTCTCAGGATGTAGCAGAAGTGAGTGATCATGATGAAGTGGAGGAAGAGGAGGAGATGGAGGAGGAGGAAAGCTCAGAGTCTGACTCTGAGTCTGATGAGAAAGGTACTGCACATATACTACCTCTGGTACACAGAACTACAAGAGTAGTACAAGAAAATACATATTTAAAAAAAAAAGTCCTGTACTCCTGGACTGGGACATCTCTCAGTCCCATCACGTTCTGAAATTATATTTGTAAAGTGTGAGGGAGGCTTCAGGGTCACTGGGACATTTTGCACGGTAGCAGTCTAAACAGAGAGACCCAGACTTCCCTCTCCCTAGGCCAGACATGTCAAACTCAGGCCCAGGGGCCAAATTTGGCCCACAATATAATTATATTTGGCCAACAAGATCATATCAAATATGTATTAGAGCTGGCCCTCCGGCTACAGATAGGCTATAGACTATTGTTATTATTTTATTTTATGCTTGTTCTGAATTCAGTGTTTAAGCAAAACTATTATGAAACATTTATTTTAATTAAAAAAAAAGGTTTAACATTACATATCTCGAAAGAAGAGAAAACATGCATATGTTGTTGACATTTTTCAATAAATATTTAGTTTGGCCCACGACTTAGTCCCAGTTTTTGATTTTGGCCCTCAGTAAATTCGAGTTTGATACCCCTCCCTAGGCACGTCAAGGTGTTTCCAAAGAGATACCTAGTTCCTCCACCGAGTGTCTACTTGCTCCTCTTGGCATGGAGGAACAGAAGAAAAAACAGGACCAGGACACTACTGAGAATATGAGCCTGACACACCTGACCTCCTCCTCTAGCTGTACTCTCTTTGACCTGAAGAGGGCGCCAGTCTATTTTATTTATCTAGATGTCACCAGATTGACAGCTACTCTTCCTGGGGTCCTATTCAGAAATACTAATGCATCACCATTTACAATATACAATGTATATCTGACATATGACATATATTCACTACTATTTTAGATGGAATTGTCTCTTTCTGTGTTTGTGTTTCAGAGCACTTCCAGGAGGACCTGGCCAACATCACGTGTGAAATCGCCATCAAACAGAAACTCATTGACGAGTTAGAAAACAGCCAGAGACGACTCCACACTCTGAAACTACAGTATGAGCAGAAACTACTACTACTGCAGTACAAGATACAAGAGACACAGCAGGAGAGGGACAAAGTACTGCACAACATGAGTAAGTACTGCTGCTGCCTCTACTACTACTACTACTACTGCTGCAGTACAAGATATGAAAGACACAGCAGGAGAGGGACAAAGTACTGCACAACGTGAGTGAGTACTGCTGCTGCCTCTACTACTACAACTACTACTTCTACTACTGCAGCACAGGTTACAGGAGACACAGCAGGACAGGGACAAAGTATTGAACATGAGTGAGCATCTGGGAAAGTGTTGTATAAGACTAATACATGATTATTGTGAACCCTGTGTTCTAGCTCCAGTGGACAGTGGCTCTGAGGACAGAGCCAAACGCGTCAAAGCCGAATATGAACGAAAACTGTCTGTGATGAACCGAGAACTCCAGAGACTGCAGGCAGCGCAGAGAGAGCACGCCAGGCTACTGAAGAACCAAAGCCAGTATGAGAGACAGCTAAAGACTCTGCAAGGGGAGGTGGCTGATATGAAGAGGAC